CACAGAATACCAGCGACAAATAGCGGCTTAACGCTGCTGTGTTTCGTATGGTGAGTGTAGAGAACCGGAGACCCTTTTTACTGGAAAAGAGGCACTCCATCTTAGTCCTCACGGGTGACAACGCATCTGCATTTGATTGTTTATTGAGGATAGATGTCGATGTCTATGGGTCACAGCAACCACTTACCATCAGGTGGACTGTGTGGTTAATCAGATAAAAGAATACGAGTAATATAAGATTTATGTATTATTCTATATATCTATATGTATATTTATTATATCTATAGTCTGTTACTGTATCTATTTGAATAAAGAAATAAATAGTGGGTTTGTCCCTTCGCCCCTGTTAATGTAATTTAAGCTTTAACATATTACTGGTTAAGACGAGACAATGTGATGTTTTCAATGTTTTATTATAATTGCGATAATCTATAATTCTTGTGTAATTTACAGCTTCCGATGTTGTTGTGAAGTTATCATCGTGGTGGAAATCAACTAGGAGAATATCATTATCATTAATTATCAATTATTTTTTTAATTTAAACGATTACTATATTTATTCTATATATATGATTTAATCTAGGTACATACGTTGCGTTGATTATGAAAATAAATACGGTGTTTATTCAGCTGGAGTAGAACAAATAGTAAGTAAGCAGAGGGTGTATAGTGATCTTATGAGTCACTCATGAGTCAAAAAATTGGCCACCTGTGGGGTTAGTTACGTTGACTTTCTACATAGGTTGACGTTAACAGAAAACTATAAAAATTTACGATATCAACGTCAACGAAACAATATGTCATTCTTTTTTTTTTATAGAAGAGGGGGCAAACGAGCATGCGGCTCACCTGATGGTAAGTGACTACCGCCGCCCATGAACAACCGCAACACCAGGGGAATTGCAGATGCGTTGCCGGCCTTTTAGAAAGGTGTAAGCTCTTTTCTTGAAGATTCCTAAGTCGTATCGGTCCGGAAAATTCGCTGGTAGTAATTGATTCTTCATTCATATTCTTTTTTATAGTTTTCTATTACCGTTAACGAATTTATGGCAACTTGGCTGACCCCGATGGATGTTTGAGTATCGCACACAGAAAGAACGAAAAAAAGAGAGAGACGCACGCAAACTCACTAATGAATGTACGAATTAATATTCAAAGAGGTTAAGTAGGCTACACTTAACTATTCCATTAATTATATAATATGCAAATTTAGCACTTTAGTACCTTATGAGTTGTTTCCACTCGCAATACTTAAAAGTAAATTAGATATAGGGCAGGCGTTTGTTTTGATTTACATATCTCGGTGCACGTGAGTTCGATTCTCGGCCACTGGAACTGTAATTAAACGAGCTGATTTACGATGTGCACAGCGATGAAGTTGAAATTCGCAGGGCACACGTAACCCACTCGTCTAAGAAAAGTATGTTTCAAGGAACCAATAAGTCCTTCATGTACATCAGAGCAATGTATTATAGACCTTTTTTGTGAGTGACGCGGTAGAGCCACGCGTCTGAAATATTGTGGATTCAGCACGAATAGGTCTGCCAGACTGGGGAAGGACCATACTTTCAAAGGAGCGTGTGTCATCGTTATCAGCATTCAAGAACGCAAATCGTAACAAAACTCACGATACCATCCACACCATCTGGACGCTTGGCGGTCATACGACCCATCTGTGGAATCGTTTACCACCGGTAGTTTTTCCGGGCCGATATGACTTAGGGACCTTTAAGAAGAGCTTACTCCTTTCTAAAAAACCGGGAACGCACCTGCAGTTCCCCTGGTGTTGCAGTTGTTCATGGGCAGCAGTAGTCACTTACCATCAGGTGAGCCGCATGCTCGTTTGCCCCTCATCTATAAAAAAAATCAGTCCGTATTAAGCCCACGGCTGGACTTGCGTTTTTAAGAATTGAAGACCTCTCTCCACTCTAAGACTTGTCTTAATCATCACGCTTGACAGGAGTATTGACAATCGCAGTACCAGACGTGAGCTTTAATGCGGCTTCGTGCCGCCAGTTTGGGTTTTTACGTCAGGCGTAAACAAAATGGTCATACCGCATCTTTCAGAAGCCATAATATCATGACATATCCCATAGTCGCCTCTAAGACACCCACAGACGAAATGAGTTGGTGGATTCTCTCCTGCCTCCACCGCACGGCAAGAACAGCTCACAGAATTCCAGTTTATTGCGCCATAATCCTGCTGTGTTTCGTATGGTGGAAGATACACATTTACTTGTAACATGGCATTCCATCATAATACAGGACCACGCATCTGTATTTTGGCTCTTAATCGAGGATCTGTAGCCTAGATCTAAGCTATGAGTTACAAAATCCAATTACTATCAGGTGGACTGTGTACTCATTTGTCATTCTTACTAGATTTATATTGTAGTAAAACATACAAAAACTTATCTGCATTATATATCTATATATCTAGCTAGCTTTAAAAAAAGATCAACACTGTGCTGAGTAGTAGATATAAATTTAATGGTGTTGATGTTACGTTTTTAATAAAAATCCCTGATGTTTTCCGGCCCTAATTTATTCCTAAGTGATAAAAGCATAATTCTTGGCCTTAACCTCGCATTCAACCTAAACACATTAATTTGAAGCTTTCTATGTCGTGGTCCAAATTAGGATACCCTAACGTTGACTCTTACAAGAATGAACCTTAAAAATTACTTTGATGCGCGTCCAAATTACAGTGGAATTACGTGTCTTTATGACCTTGTCACGCGTTATTTGCTAATGGCGGTGTGCGGAGATCACGTCTAGAGATTATAGGTGCGGCCGGCCATTCTCTTTGCTGTTTGTGATATCGGACAACAGACGTATGGTATTGAATATTATTATAATTACTGTGTGTTTTTTTTTAAATGTCAACTTCATCTGCACACAGTGCAAAATAGCTTTTAGGACGTTTGGCTTTGTGTGAGACTATTAGCTGGCGTTCCACCCTGCAATGCAATTGTTTAACTCTGTGGGGAATCGAAAATGAAAGGATAACTTGCCCAGCAATAGAATGTATATAAAAGAAGAAGAAAAAAAGATAGAAACATCTTTATTTGAAGCTACATGATACTCGTGCATAACTGCATCCCATAAATATAACGTCGGCTAAAAATTCCAAGCTGCTAACTCCATCTTGGCTAAATTGTCTAGGCTTTGGCTTGGACTTTATATTATCATTACAGTCCATCACAAATTAACTGCTGAACTTAGGCCACATGCATCCACCGAATTCCTGCATGTGACACCGTTATGTGGCTGTATAAGAATATATTATACCTCGCATTGTCCAAGTATAAAATTAAATAACTGCAATTGCGAACCCGTTTGCCAAGCGGTCAATCTATACAGAACGTGAATTTATTGGAACTTGATAATTCTCCTTCGAAAGGAACGTATTGTATTACTTAAAGTAAAGCAAGGATTTTAAAACAAAGTATAACTTCAAAAATAACTATAGGAAGAAAAACAAGTGAAATTAAAAAATAAAACATGAACTTTTTTTTTTAATATACCACTATTTTATATTCTTACATTTTCATCCGATTCTGAGCTATGTTCAAAATATCAAGTCTCTAGTTCATCGGGAAAATTCGACTTGAACAAACATACACGAAAGCGAGTTGATAAAAACGTGGTGAAATGCAATTTGCTTATTTGAATTTGGTAAAGTTACTGTAATTCTATAGTAACTCGAATGGGTTGGCTCGACCGGATAATAAACATGCTCGCACAGAATACCAGCGTGGAATAGCAGCATAACTCTTTTCAGTTTTCATTCGTATGGTCCGTGACAAAATAGGATTCACTTTTTACTGGTTACAAGGTATTCCATCTTAGCCTTCAGTAGTGGCAACGTATTTGCATCTATTTACTATCAGATGAAATTTGTGCTCGTTTATCACCTCAGTTTCTTTAAAAAAAATACGCAAGTCCTGACAATTAGTAGCCAAAGAGTTTCCACAGTAATTTAACTTTATCAAAAAATTTAAGGAGTTAAATAAAAAAATACAGATAGACGTTTGCATAACTAAATGTACGAATAATTATGCATTTCTATGCAATTAGCAGATGTCATGTCGTAATTAGCATTGTCCTCTGCATTTTGCAAGTCTAAAGTAATGTATAATTTCGTAAATCCGGCGTATTCAGGCCACTTAAAACTATTGTTTATTTATGTCTGTGACTGGATTGCTTATCGTTGTCTAGATAGTTTATTCTTGAATGCCATTGTTTATTTATTGCTAATGGGTAGGGCTCCAATTATGCCTGGAAGTCCAACTGGGTAGACACCATTCTCCTACTTAAGAGGAAACGCTCTCGTCTGTTTTCTTTCTGGTTTATGACCTTATAATAATATAAAAAAAATCCAATAAATGTACTAAAAATACAAATTATAAAATTTTATTTCTGCATTTCATGACAGTGACATATACATATACCTACATATAAAGCAATGAGTTTTTACAGTAAAATAAATATCAACCTCTTCTATGTCCCTATGTTTTCCTTTTTCATGATATATTATCTTTATAAGTACTAGAATAGAATCCTTACGAAATGCCCAATTGCTTATTAATTTGCACTAAGATGGAATGCCTCGTTTCCAGTAAAAAGGGGCTCCGGTTCTCTACACTCACCATACGGAACACAGCGGCGTTCAGCTGCTGTTTTACGCTGGCATTCTGCTTATGTTCAGCAAAGGACTTTAATAGGCGATAACGGTAACAAGCCAGTGCTTGATTATGATCCAACCAGACGGTAAAGCAGTGGCAAGTCAGTGACTAAACAAAAGCATATTCTTTTACCTTGAATACATCTACCAATTGTATATAAAGTACTCCGGGAAGACCCAAATAGTAATCGGATAGAAATACCGATTCTAACTAATTACTCCACTCCATAGCCGTATCATTGTTTCGATTTTCCTGTTAATCTCAATGCTGACGTAGAACACAATGAAATCTAATTGAGGCTTGTTGTTTCAGGAGTCTCCGGAGGTCCGCATGTCGCTGCCGCTGGAGCCGCGGGCGCCGGACCCCTCGACGCTCGCGGCCTATTGGGCGGAGTACGAAGACCTGTGCCGTCAGATCAGCACAGCGCACCAGAACGAAGATGACGAGAACCTTTACGAAGGTAGGTGTATAAGCCGAGCGAAAGATTTTAGCAAATATTTACATAAATCGCAGTGAAGTGTCGACGCCCTTAGGATAATATGGGGATGGATAATCGTAAGGTTCGACAGTGAGGACTCGTTCGCTTCCGTCTTCTATGAAAAAAGTTATACTTTATTCAGTTGTAAGAGAAAACGAGATAAGAACTGGCAGGAAACATGAGGCTTGCTTTTTTTTTAATATTTCCACTTTGCAATTAAATGTGGTAATGGAATTAGTACTGCAAATTAATTATATTATTATAATGCATTAAGCCAGCTGCTCACTAGTGCGGAAAGGATTGCGTTGCCATACATCCTTGTCTTCTAAATGCTCACTTGTGTAATAAGCGTTGTTAAGAAGTGTTTGCTTAATATTTTTTACGTTAAGTTTTCTTTAAGAAACATTAGCCTCAGTTTTATTTCGACAAATACGTTTAAGAAAGTTTTTTTTTGATTTGGCTAACCTAGTCCTCATTACATACAATCTATTGTGTTAGGCAGTATGTTTATTTCATTGCCGGCCTCGTTGCTCTAGTGATCGTAATCGCGACTACCGATCAAGTGGTCCACGAATATAACCAGTTATTGGGGTTTTCCGCCTAGAAAGTCTTAGTAACACTCCGGAGTCAGGAAGGTTTTACCCTCGTGTTCATCCCTGTACTTCGGAAAAGCACGTAAAGCCGTTGGCCCCGCGCCTGATTTTTCTCCATTCGTGTCGGGTTCCGTCCCATCGGACTATGTGAGTGAGGGAATAGAAAGTCCACTGTTCTTTAGAACACTGTCGTTATTATTACTTCGTCTTTTATTGAAAATATGGCTCTGATAAATGACTTGGACTATATTGTGTAATTTAGTCCAAGTCGTATCAGAAGATACATGTTCGCATGTTAAAACCTCCTCTACACTACTTGCAAAGTAGGTCGAAGTTGGACGAGGCGAATAGTGTAGAGAGGTACTTCGATTCACTTCGTCCAACCTCGCTTCGCCTCGGGCGACTTCAGATCGCTGTCGGTTTTTTGCGCCAAAGTCAAAGGACTTCGCAAAATACCCCAAAGTTACACGAAGCGTCTCACTACACTACTCGGCGTACGCCAGTTATGTTTTTTTTATATATATAAATATTAAATATGTAACTTTCTACATAATTATTTATTTAGTTAACGCATTGACGTCGTACTGTTCACACAATTAGGTACCTATAGCAGCTGCCGCTTGAACGTCATTCATGTTAAGGGTGTGGTAGACTCAGGATGACTGAGCTCTTCGCGAAGTAGCACGAGTGTGTGGTCACGTTCTTCGGACTGCGATCGACTTAGACGAGAACTTCGTCGACGTTACTTCGCGAGTAGTGTAAAGGAAGCATAACACTAAAAAGAAAAAACTTTGAAGTATTCCGTTTGTTTCGGAATCCTCGGCGTTAACATATTGAGTGAAATTTGGTTCCGCGGTTACTTGGAAGGAAAGGTTAAATTGTCTTCTAAGTAGCTTAGCTTGCTTAGTAGAGCGGAACTCACGTGGAATAAGTACTGTTCTCGTTTTGGACCTGATGCACCTCAGTACCAGCTCCTTTCATTTGAATGCATCTTACTTACTTGAATCGTCGACGACCATGTCCTCTCTGTTCAGTTTAACTCACTGGCCTTGTGAATAGACATTGTGTCTCTTTGTGTTTTTATCGTATTTACAACTCGAAGGAAATGTTCGGTTTAGTTCCGGCCTCCATATTCTCCCATCGTGCTTAGACCGGTGCTCCTTTGTTAGATTTCCTATTATTTCTAACGTACCTGATTTTATTCTGGTGTTGAGGAGATTCACGTGCAACAGCCACTTACTATCAGATAGACCGTGAACCTCCTTTCCACTCTTATGACCTTAACTGCTTTTTATAACTGACTATGGCAGGCCTCTGTCACTCTTGCTACCTGCGTGAAATAATTACCTACAATCGCGAGCCGCCCCCGGGGCAGAACGCAGTCGGGGCTAGCGCGTTCTAGGCGATTGGATGTTAAGGTTTTTTAACGCTATTTACGTAAATAGTTTTTTGTAAATACTTGTTGAAATACCCGTCAAAATAGTTTTGTTTAGTGTTTAGTATATTTAATTGTAGGATAAAATAGTTGAAATTTTTTTTAATGTAATTTAAGAATAATATATATTTTGTATATTACCTATCTATTTTATAAATTATATTAATAAAACGTCGTTCCTACATACTATAATTGTTGTGGAGATGGATGCTTAATGAACAAAAAAAAAGGATTCAGATATATCATTTTTTAAGTTACCGAAGGTTAATGAAAGGTGAATTTATTTCATTTTTTTTTTGTTAGATAGGTACTTATAGCGAAAAATTAATTGAGTAATAATTTAACTACAAAAGTAATACCTAAGTACTTTATTACAAAACTTAGTTTAAATTTACTTCACTACCCAAGTACCTACTTACATACCTATACTTATCTTTTGTAATTAAAATATTTTAAGTTATAATAACACAAAATACTGAAATTAAAACTTTGTTTAGAAGATTTTTAACTAAGTAGAATACGATCACATATCTGTTAGGAATCGTATTTCGGGTGTATTTGTTGTTTACTCTATCTACCTATTTCTTACGAGCCAAGCATCGCGATTCCCGACAAATGGCCTAGCAAGTTGCATGCATTGGGCATCACAGAACTCACATAGTAGCGGAAATATGGTTGATCATAATCAGAATAGGTACTTTACCTAAGTAACTTACCATTTCGCCATGTATTTTTTTTTTACTCTTTATTAACAGCCCTTTGTAACGGAACGCCCACGGAAAGTTCGTTCTTGTGACGTAGGAAGGAGAAAAGATACAAAGTAATACGGACACTCGCGCGCAGCGATAAAGATTTATTTAGTTTGCGTGCGCGATTTATCTGATTAATAATAATTATGTAGGCTATTAAAACATCAGCAAGCAGTCAACATCAAAGGAGTGCAACTTCTGTACGTAGTACTATTATTTATTCTGGACTATGGCATATTAAAGATAGCGATTTTTGTTGAACAATCATATTTATCAAGACAAACATTACGAGACGATGATACCATAAGGCGTCCAAATTAACCCGTGCAAACGACAATATTGAGACAACACAAACCTGTTAATTTTTAACTCACTAATCATCTGCGCCCTTGAAGACTTTGTTTATTTTTTAATACAGATAAGCTAACTTCAGACACTAGAATTTCTTTACGTGTCTATTGTCCCAATACTCACTGTATGTGTCGTGCTGTCTTTATCACTTTAAGTAAAAAAAAAAGTGACTGTGACACCACGACACTTCACGATGTCTTAAAATTGAGCGGTGTTTGAGTATTTTGGCCAAAATCAATTATTTTTCTTATTTTTTTAAATATTAGGAATGCTATAAACATGGCAGTTTATAATATGTATCTTAGTATGTAGTTATAGTTATTATGCATAGTATATTACGTGAACAAAGATATTTTTAACGTAGTTGTTTGCACTTTGCACCCATAATACCTTCTCTGCTTAGCCTGGAGGCAGACTGGTAGATAATGTCTTATAGCATCAAGCCTTCTTGTACTTGGTGTGCAAATAAAGCCTAAATAAATGATCTCCTAAGATCCTGGTAAGCTTAAAATGCTTGTGTAAGGAGTGATTTACGACAGTTGCCGAATGGCGGAATTGTATCTATGCCGTTATAGGCTACTGTCGCTTCGTCAAATCAATCTATATTTAAACTCACACATCATGACATGGCCTCTCCCGTTGCAGGGACGATTCGCATTATTCGTCTCGCTTGGCACGCGTTTTGACGATCAAGGTGTCGGACGTTTCAACACCTTTGGCGCTGCTGCTCGACGCCGGTCTTGATAATTTATATCTGACGTATACGATATGGTACCGCCACCTACCGGAAACCATAATACTTTTTGATACAAACTCGCTTTAATGGCACTGGTAACACCCCATTTTTCTACCGACTTCAAAAAAGAGCCGGTACTCAATTCGACTGTATGTTTTTTTTATATGTGTTACTTAATAGCTTTTGACTGGGTGAACCGATTTCGATGATTCTTCTTTTATTTGAAAGCTGGTGCTTCACATGGGGTTCCATATAAATTTGATCAATGTCTGACCAATAGTTTTTGAGTTATTCTTAATAATTTACATTGAAGTCGGTTGTACGAAATTTTTAATTTTAAATTAAGGCATATATTTAGATCTTTTTTTGTTGGCGTCTGTATTATACTTAACCTAGTTTTTTGTGAATTATAATATACTTAAAAATCCGACAACTTTTTGGGGGTATAGCTCTCAGGAGAATAAGATTAAAAGACGGGACGAAATGGAGTGATGGATTGATGGATTGATTTACGCCATCAACACATGACAAGCTTTTTGTTACTAGATCTATAAAAAAATGACATTGAAAACATGATTGCAGCACCGTTTTGAGAGCGATATTATGATTTATTAAGATAGAAGGCGATTAAAAGGAAAAGGAACATTTAAACTTAATAGTGAATTTGACTAAAACGGAGGCCGGTTATTGCCTCCGGCTGTAATAGTTTCGTTTAAGATGTCGCAACATAGCATTTAACTGTCTGTTTAAAATCACATACTGTTATGATTGCTAAAAAATTCTCGGTCTAATTCGCAACGCCATTAAGAACCGCCCGTGGTAATCATTAACGCGATCAAGGTGCTATTTACCACGATATATAAGATAATTGAGTAATAACGGACATATATCATTAATAAGTATATTAAAAGGGAAAGTTGTTAATTTATACTCAAGACATATTATATTGTAACGTTATAAAATCACAAACGAGCGCTCTGTCGAGGTGACGGTGAGTGGTTACCGAAGCCACCTGTGTTTGTTTTCTACCGACTTCAAAAAGGTGACGGTACTCAATTCGACTGTATGTTTTTTTTATGTGTTACCTCATAACTTTTTTCTGGGTGAATCGATTTCGA